GTGTACTGACGTCATCGCGTCGTGACAGTGATGATGCGCTGCACAATATTAGATTCATATTTATAAATAATAATGATAATATAATAATAATAATAATAATAATAATAATAATAATAATAATAATAATAATAATAATAATAATAATAATATGTAACTGATAAAATCACATCAGTCTAACAATATTAAATGAGAGCATGACTCGTCCAACTTATTTTTTATATTCAGATTATGATTTTTATAAACTAGTTTCGGTGCCTTTGATCGAATATCAGCAATAGCACGCATGCGCAGTCTAGAGATCTTGACCCCGTGGTCAGACGGCTCCACTAGGCGGCGCGCCTTGTTCACGTAATAAGTTTTCAATTTAGCTGTAAATAATTCGTAATTTCTTCGGTGATTCGCGCGTAGGGTGAGCGATGAGAAGATGGACGAAACCAACAAAGCCATCAAGGCGGTTCGCGTCGGTGTGGCGCCCCTGGAGCAGTCGGCCCTTGACGCACAGGTAGAGTGTAGAGTCACGTACGGAGACCAGCGGCCCGTTGTCAGAAACATCACGAGCCATTATGATTATTATAAATATAAAATATCATAACTTTAGCACGACGCTTCACTTTTTTAAGAGTGGAGAACTTCACTCAGTGAACTTTTACAAGTTCAGACATTTTGTTTTTATGATGGTTTTTATTTTGGTTTTACACTATTGGTATGCACGTCGCATCACGGTCAACTTTTGAATTGGGAACACGGCGTTTTGGGGACTGGAATACATAGAATACAATGGAATTCATTATCATCCCCACTACCATAATCATCATCATCATCATCATCATCATCATCATAATCATTATCATCATCATCATCATCATCATCTATACTATAAGCGCCATGTGTGTATGTGCTTGCACATAAGTCTTTATACTACTTAAAAAAAACTTTAATCACACCCATACGCGGCATGGGCACATGCGGAGGAAGCACGAGAGGTGTTTAAACTAAAGACGTTCATGCTTACGGCATCTAGCTTTCCGTTAACTGGCTTTACGGGGTAAATGGCTGGCGAAGCAGTAAAGACGCGCGCTTAACAGCAGCTGGCACGAGCTAATGCCTCGTCCTATATTCACTATCCACATATGTACGCAACACATGTATGCGTGCAGGACTGCTTCATCCTGGATTCTGGAAAGTCTGGCATCTTCGTCTGGATCGGCAAGCAGTCCAGCAACCAGGAGCGAGCAGCAGCGATGAAACACGCTTCGGTGAGTGTCGCACGTTCAGCATGGGGGATTCGTCAAGTAAACACGCGATCGGACACTGGCCAGTGCACGAGTTTGAACACAGGGTATTTATACGCAGCGACATTTCAGCGCGCAACGCAATACAACGGCCACGAGATACCACAACACCCATCTAATCTGGCACAGCTTGCATCTAAATGACGTGCCAGGCATCACGCCATACGACTCAAAACTAGTGCACACAATCTACGATTATTTAACGGACCGAAGAAACTAACTAATTATGCAGCGCTTCAACGCAAACACTCACATAAAATTCAGCAGTCCGTGCACAGTCGTGCATCCTGACATTTATCGTTAGTAAGAAAACGGCCACAACCCTTTAACTAGATTATCGACGGCTTTTAATTTCGTGCCACTATATAGAAGACGTCACTGCTATGTCGCGTCAATGATTGTGAAAACCCCGGAGGCGTTGTTATTAAAAATCAAGCCTATATTGTCAAACGCTATTGTTTGAGCACTACAGTCGCCTATTGTTGTCCATTGCGGATAGACACACGCTTGTCGTTCTTGATTTGTCGTCTTGATTGTCGTTCACGCTTGTCGTTCAGGATTTTCGTAAAGTTATAATACAGAATAAAAGCCAAACGCGAAAATGTCATTCTCTAACATAACCTCAAGATTATATCCGTGGTTATATAGGAACCCTTTCACCACGGCCTTTGCCGATCATTCACGGGTTACGTCATGTTATATAGCACTGCCCAAGCGTTCCCTAACAAGATCCGCGGCGACATACATAGAGTGTGACCCGTGTAAACCTTTCCTGCTATTACCGATATAGTGTTGATCTATTTTCATTCGATTTACCTCGCCTACTCTTCCTACTAATGTTTAGTGAACATGACAGCGCTCCCGCGATAGGTCCATAGTGGTTGCCAAGCAGCGCGGCGCGGGAGAAGTGGGCGGGCCATCTTACGCGCCTAATCAATATACGTGGCGATGATATTGTTCCACAGAACTACGTCACGGCCCGTGATTACCCTGGCTGGACCCCGGTGACCCGCGTCATTGATGGCGCCGAGCCGGCTATGTTCAGGCAATACTTCAATTCATGGACCCGTCAGGAGCACCATTCGGCCGTGCTGGGAGCAAACGTGTCCGTGGGAGAGGTGCTGGAAGGTACGCGTGAATCTATTTCACTGTGTCTCCCTCCCACCTCTCGCTCTCGCTCTCTCTCTCTCTCTCTTTCTCTCTCTCTCTCTCTCTCTCTCTCTCTCTCTCTTTCTGTCTGTCTCTCTATCGCGCTCTCTCTCTCGCTCTCTCTCTCTTTCTGTCTGTCTCTCTATCGCGCTCTCTCTCTCGCTCTCTCTCTCACTCTATCTATCTTTCTATCTATCTATCTATCTATCTATCTATCTATCTATCTATCTATCTATCTATCTATCTATCTTCCTATCTATCTATCTTCCTATCTATCTATCACCCCCTTTCTCTTTCTTTTTCATTATATATAATTAAATATATGTGCGTGCATGCGTGTGCGTGTGATCGTGTATCATGACGGATAGCTAACGTATTTATCCTGATATTAAATTCTAGACACTGCACCTGAATCCGTTAAGGAGCTTCCAACGATCTCCAAGAGAAGGAAGAGAATTTTCAACTGGGGTCCTCTCGCGAAGCACGGCGGCAGAGCCTGTGGCTTCATGCCGGACGACGGAACCGGAAACGTCGAGGTGTGTACTGACGTCATCGCGTCGTGACAGTGATGATGCGCTGCACAATATTAGATTCATATTTATAAATAATAATGATAATATAATAATAATAATATAATTGATATATAATAATCAAATACAGATCTGGCGCATCCACAAGTTCAAGATGGTTCCGCTGGAGCCGGATCAGTACGGATTCTTCTGCGGCGGTGACAGCTACGTCATCAAGTACTCCTACCGCAAAAAGCTGAAGGAGGGCAAGAAGAGCAAGAAGGAGAACTACATCATCTACTTCTGGCAGGTCCGAGACCTAACATGGTGATACCCCGCGTTAAGAAAGTAATGCGTTCCAGAAAAAATCGTCCGTAACGCGAAATTCCGTAACGCGAATCACGCGTGAAATGGGAGGTTTTTGGATGTACAACCGTTGTTTCCTTTAAAAAAATTTCGAAAATGTTAATTTTCGTTTGCTATCGCGAGTAAAAGGGGCTTAATCTCCGATATGAGCGTGGACGAATTTACGTAAGCCGAGTTATCGTAACGTGGAGTGTCGCTGCGCGTTAATCGTGCCGTAGATTAGACGAAAATATGGGGGTGTGGTTTATATCGGGAAAATCTGTCGGAGCAATTCTATAAATTCAATTCTATTCTATTCAATATATAATCAAAACTAACTATTGCGGTTTCTGATTAAACATTGAGACTTGTGATTAATGCTGAGACTGCTGATTCTGTGGAAACAATTCTCTATACACTTCTAAAATTCAAAAAAAATTTAATCAAAATTAAATAATTATAAGGCGCTCCACTTTCATACGGATGGGAAGTACGTGTATGTGAGCGACACTCGTAAAAAAATCTCAGTCGACATCGCTAAAATAACTAAAGCATAACTTAATACTTTCCATTCCTATATTATAGCAGACGTCATTAATGTGATAATGGTTAGTTCAGCTAGCAGGATTTTGATTGCGTGTCGGGTTTTTTCTTGCTACCGTAGGGTAAAGAAAGCAGCCAGGACGAGAAGGCTGTGTCTGCATTTAGCGCGGTGAAACTGGATGACGAACTAGGTGGCGCTGCAGTGCAGGTTAGTCTCTGCGTTCGCTGTCGTTCAGTAGAGTACAATTAACGATAGGTGCTGTGAATTCACACGCTATTCCTGCAGCTATTGTGTTTGTTCTACATCGGTCAATTGCCAAATGTATTCATGTGTACACTTGACTGTTGATTACTCGTGGAACACATCGTGTAAAATGTAAATAAGACAACAACGAACCCCTTAATTACGAAACGTACGCGCACACACGTTCACTCACGCACATCACACACACACACAACACACACACACACCACACACACACACAACACACACACACACACACACACACCACACACACACACACATTCACACATCCACCCACACACAGCACGCACGCACGCACCGCACGCACGCACGCACGCACGCACAACACAACACACACACACACATACACACACACACACATACACATACGCACACACACACACACACACACACTGATATAATAAACTATAACATTTAAATTGATTTCAGATCCGCGTTGTTCAAGGTCGGGAACCGGAGCATTTCCTGACCATCTTCAAAGGAAGAATGGTTGTCCTCATGGTAATGTCACAAAGATGTCCTAGTTTTATCCTTCATCATAGTTATACGCTATAGTGCACAATTGGATAATAGCTTCAGTGGAGAAATACGAAATATTTTGGTCTCCGATTCTCTCTAAACTTCCACGTGAAGCTAAAACTACATCGACTACATCGTTAATTATTTTAATTCAACATTTTGGCGTAGCAAGGGTTTCTCGATTTTACAACATCAGTTGGATGCACTTTGCAATGCAATGATCGCTGTAACACGATTCGTTGCGTGCTTCCTAACACTACGCGCACTCTGCGTGTGTAGGGTGGCAAGGCGAGCGGCTTTAAGAATATACACGATCACGACACGTTTGACGTTGACGGCACCCGCCTCTTCCACGTCCGAGGAAGTACGGAAACCAACACCAGAGCTCTGCAGGTACAATCAGCCGCGAAGGCCTGCGTAACACAAACACACCGCGGAATCCCTAGCGCTTCTCTAGGCGGCTTCTCTATAGAGAACTGCATTTCACATTTGATGTACACGTGTCCTCTTTCGTCCACGCCAAAGTTAACGTAATATCATGTTAGAAGAAATATACTATTTTGTAATATGCTATTTATATTACAGTTATGATACACTAGTCACTAGTGTATTTACAATAATTGTAAATATGATGTTAGGTGGCCGTACATTTGCTTTCTATGCGGACATCGAGAGGGGTGTTTTTTTTAAAGCACTGCCTATCATGGAGTCTGATTTCACCCGTTTGTGTTTAGGTTGCTGAAGTGCCAGACTCGCTAAACTCTGAGGATGTCTTTGTGCTTGAGACTCCTTCTAACACTTTCGTGTGGCAAGGAAAGGTAGGTTTTGGTTGTATATTTTACTGCGGTATCGTGTCACAAAATTCAGAAACGTTAAATATTACGTATTATACATCGGGAGCTCACCACGAGTTTAGGTTAACATTAAAGGTATCTAGTTCTTGCTATTGCACATTATTTTCCTTATGATTCACGAAATACTATGTTTATTGTTAGGCGATTGACAATATTAATTGAAATGCGCGTCATAAGATATACTCTTTTGATTAGAAATGTGATTTTCCTTCCAAGACCATTGCATTTTGTTGATTAATCAACAATACTAATCTATCGATACAACAAACTTTTTTATATAATAGTATATATATATTTATATATATATATATATCCCATAGAGCGAGCTTTCGTCATAACTTCTCCTCTTTATGCTATTGACAGAATAGCCTGAATATATAATTATATATATATATTCTATACGTCAAAAAATAACGCCTAATAAACCATGAAATTCTATCGATATATCAGTATTGATTTAGAACAGCACCTATTCAAAATCAATACTGAAATATCGATACGCTCTTTATTGATTAAGCTTGCAATCGTGCTCGCAGTAGCGTACGTATATCAGCTGCCTGCATTCATTTATTACTGATATGTCGATACGTGGTTAGTTAATCATTGTAAGCGTGCTGTGTTCGCCACGCGCGCAGGGCTGCATCGATGTGGAGCGTCAGATGGGATTCAATCTGGCAGGAATTGTATCTCCTGGTGGTGAGGCCGTGTCCTTGGAGGAGGGAGAGGAGCCCGAGGAGTTCTGGATCTGTCTCGGAGGTTACGGCGAGTATCCGTCGAAGCACGATTGGGTGAGTGACGAAGATGATGTATATCTTGTAATCTCTATCTACCTCTCGCTCTCTTTTTCTCTATCCATGCATCATATCATGTTATCAAGCTTAGGCTACTATCCATTTTGCGATCACACACCCGCGCGCGCGACGCATACAAACAAGCACACGCGTGCGCACACGCACACACACACACACACACACACACACACACAACAACACACCACACACACCACACACACACACACACACACACACACAACACACACACACACACACACAGCACACACATATATACGCTGCGCGTTTGTTACACAGCACGCACATTCCCGCCATAGGACACTCATTCGCCAAAATCACACGCAAACGTCACGTACACTCAGTACGGGACACGCACAGTGCATACGCGCACGTCTGCATGCACTCACGCTCTTCATTTTACTTTCTCTTACGCTGATTCTAATCTCGCATTCTGCTTCTCTCTCGCACACTCCCACTCTCGAATGTATTTCGTGACGGCAATCGCGGCGGAAGTCTTATTAAACTACACAGAGACACGCCGGCTCAGACGCGCAACTGTTGATATCAGCTCTTACATAAATTACTACGTACGTAACACACGCCTATACGCTCGCTTCCTGCTTGCAGCGAGAACCCACGCGCCGCTGCCACGCGCGATCTTCCAGGTCGCACGTTCGCGTCAACAAGAGGCCTGCAACGCGCGAGCGAGATCGAGAGTTGGCAAGCGCGAAGGCCAAGGTAAGTAGGCAATGTACATGGTAAAGTAAGGAAGTATGGGTAAAGGTAAAGTAAGGGCGTAAAGTAAGGGAGTATTGGGTAAAGGTAAAGTAAGGGTAAAGTAAGAGATGGTATAATAGGTAGCTAAGAGTATGAAGGTAAGTAGCTAAAGTAAGCGAGTATGGTACAGGTAAAGTAAGGTAAAGGTAAAGTAAGCGGCTAAAGTAAGGAGTATAGCGTAAAGGTAAGTAAGCGGTAAAGTAAAGAGTATGGGCTAAAGGTAAAGTAAGGGTAAAGCTAAGGGAGTATGGGTAAAGGGTAAAGTAAGGGGTAAAGCGCTAAAGTAAGGGTATAGCTTAAGCGAGTATGGTAAAGATCAAAGTAAGCGTAAAGGTACGAGTAAGGGTAAAGTTAAGGAGTATGGGTAAAGGTAAGAGTGAAGGGGTAAAGTAAGCGAGTAAGGGTAAAGTAAGGAGTATGGGTAAAGGTATAAGTAAGCGCCTAAAGTAAGGGTTGGCGTAAAGGTAAAGTAAGGGTAAATGGTAAAGTATGTGTAAAGGTAATAGTAAGGGTAAAGTAAAGAGTAAGGGTACAAGGGTAAAGTAAGAGTAAGGCGTAAGGTAAAGTCAGGGTAAAGCCAAAGTAAGGAGTAAGGCGTAAGAGGTACATAGTAAGGGTAAAGTAAGGAGTAAGCGTAGGTAAGTACGGGCATATAAAGTATACGTAAGCGTAAAGTAAGGTAAACTAGAGTTAAGGGGTAAAGTAAGCAGTAAGGGTAAAGTAAGGGTAAAGGGTAAAGTAAATGAAGGGTAAAGGAATAATGGGTATAGTAAGAGTAAGGGTATGGTAAGGTAAGTAAGGGTAAGTTAAGATGTATGGCGGCTAAGCCGCTAAGCTAAGGGCTAAGTAAGGAGTAAGGCTCTAAAGTAAAGTAAGTGCGTTAAAGGTCAAAAGTAAGGGTAAAATAAGGAGTATGGCAAAAAGTAAACGGTAAAGTACAGTATGCGAAGCTACTAAGGTTAGGTTAAAGTAAGGAGTAAGAGTAATAAGTTAAAGTATAAGGAGTAAGGGTAAGGCTAAAGCTACGAGGATAATTGGTAAAGGTTAAAGTAAGGGTAAGCAGTAGGGAGTAAGGCTGTAAAGGTACAAGTACGCCGGTAAAGTAAGGAGTAAGCAGGTAAAGCGTAAAATAAGTCCGGCTAAAGTTAAGGAGTAAGGGTAAGGCTAAAGTAAGGGATAAAGTTATGGAGTAAGCGTAAAGGTAAAGTAAGGATAAAGCGTAAGACAGAGTAGTTGGGTAAAGGTAAAGTAAGGGCAAAGTAAGGAAGTAAGGGTAAAAGTAAAGTAAGGGTAAAGTAAGGCAGTATCGCGTTAAAGCCGTAATAAGTACATGCGGTAAAGAAAGGGAGTATGCGCTGTAAAGTAAAGGCTAAAGTTAAGGTAAAATGTAATAGTAAGGAGTAATTCGGAAAGGTAAAGTAAGCGGTAAAGTAAGGAGTATGTTAAAGGCTTAAAGGTAAAGTAAGGGTAAAGATAAAGTAAAGGTTAAAGTAGAGGAGTAAGGGTAAGAGCTTAAAGCTACGCGGTAAAGTAAGGCAGTAAGGTAGTAAAGCGTAAAGTAAGTGCTAAAGTAAGGAGTAAAGGTAAATGTAAAGTAATGGGAGTAAGACCGATGCCAAGGACGTGAGCGGTGGGGCTGTGATATGAGGGCGCAGCAAGGTGTGGTTCCGTCAGAGGTGCAACCTCTACGAGGCGCAGGTAGTTCACTTGGCACACTGTACGGATTGGCCCCGTCGCCGCGAATCTCTATCTGCTTCTAATTGTGCGCGTCCAGCTCCTATTTGCGGCCAGATGTCGCTGATGACGTTCAATATTCCGGTCGCCTAATTTTGGAGGTCGGTGGCAAGACGATACGTGATTCGAATCTGGTGGTCTTACTGTATCGATAAATTAATGCCTTCTTAGGTGTCGTGCGTGACTTCCTATTGCATCGCTTTATAACTACATGGTAGTATGGCAATGTTGTCTGCTAAGATGCGCCTAACCATTAGCTTAGACCATGCTCCTTCCTCCTATCAATGTTCGAGACAAAAAAAAATCCTTACTTTTCCTTACTCAAACCACCGATTTCTTTTCGCAGGATCTGATGGTGATGACGTCACTGATTACTGGACAGTGGAGCAGATCGGAGTAATGTTGATGGTTACATCGGACTCGTCTCCCGTCTGTCATTGCTAAAATGCGTGCCGCTCCGCGATTTTCTTCTTACAGCCCATTTTCACCATCCCTATGCTTAACGTACGTTATTAATTATAAATTCGTTATAGTGTTGTTATATTAACTATTATGTGGTTGCTCATTCTTTATTTTAATCTCTCGACCACTTGGCGTCGCAGCATCTACATATAGGCCGTTGGCAAGGGATCACCAACCCGAGGAACGAAAGAAGGGATATTGATCCTGGGCTGTGGTAGGCTATCATGTCTAATTGTTTATTTTTGGAAGCGGTGCACAATATCCACCTTGAATAAAGGAAGGCGTGGAGTATGAACATCCATTAAAGCCATTACCTGCGTTGTGCGTCAAACTAGAACATTACTACAGCACTTTGCTGGTCGCGAGATGACCGGCGACAAGACATGGTCGTCACGAATTCACACCGTTTCCAAACTATATAATGCAGCTATTATTAACCCAGTTTTCACGTTTGAGTGTGCGACAATGGGACGAACTAAAGCAAATGAATCATAGTGATGTCGATATATATAATATATAAATATATATAAATATACATAATATATATATAACTATAATATATAGTATATCATATATATCATATATATATATATATATATATATATATAATACTATATATATATATTATGCCTTGTCGTCGTACAGCAGTTTCGCATCCTTTGCATACGCAACTATACAGAACGCATTTCTCTCGCCGTAGCAATATAAGAGCAGAGCCAACGCGGGCGCAAGGATGAAGATGCCGTCGTCTTCGAGATCCAAGCAAGGTCACGAGCCGGACACGGTTCGTTGGCCTACTTCGAGTCATGACGCCGACAAGCGCATGTGGGGGGTCAGTATCTAATCACGTTGGCGCCGATACATTCGATCAAGTGCTCGGCCGTAAATTAACTTTCAGTGTACTTTAGAATTATTTGTAATTACGGAGGTGATATCGCTGAGCTAAGTCTCTGATTTCACAGATAACATGCATTCGCGTGACGCCTAGTGTAATCATAGTAGATACGTTAGTCATAGTAAGTAATCTAGACTACAGCTCTCTGTCGCGTCGAAAGGTTGGCTTCTGCTTAACATCGCAGAGACGATTCCCGAGCCTGTACTAAAAGGAAACTGTACGGCTAAATGTCTTTACTTACTTGGATGCATCCAGGCTTATTGGCCATCATCGCACATTTGTTGTGATCCCAATGCATTGTTATCGTTTAGGACTAGTTGTTCGCTTGTGTTCTGATAAGGATCTTAGGCGGCGTGTATGAAACGGCTGCGAAAGCTAGTCTAAGGTATCTCCACAACGCGGTGCGATGGATGTTATTTTTGGACTCCTTTGCGGGAGCCTTTAATAAACCAAAAACGCTACCAACCAGAAATTCAGCGGTAGCGTGAGTCGAGTGTACACATGTTGATGTCGCGACACATCAGCTTTAAGATACACAACAGTATTCGGCATTCGGTGTGCTAGTGTGTTATGCCAGTGGAATTATATAGTTGACTGGCGTATTAAGCGGTTGTCTACAATTGCGTCTATGAGATAAAATGCGTAAATATTCGCGAGAAATTGCTAGCAAATGTGAGAATCATCGCGGTTTCCTAACAGCGTTTGTGTTTTACAGGACAAGCGAATAAGTGTCGGACATCTTCACGAATAAGACCTCATTTTGTAACGCGTCATGTTGAGTAGTTTCTACACTCAAGAGCGAAACACTTTACAATGGTATATTTATGAAGATGTACGCTGCAGGAAGAGTATCGAGATGAGCCGATAAATCGGCATATTATCAAAGTGCGTGCATATTTGCCGCTATACGCCTATTCGCATTGCTTAGCACAAACACTAGTTCACAAGCCGCTAACAAACCGTGACGGTTTTCGTACGCGCTAGTGAAAAGCATGATTAATAATGTGCGACGGTAGAACGGTTCGATAGATAGTTTAATAAAGTCTGATACAAATTAGCTAGTTTAACCTTTCTCGATTTTACGCCGAGCCCTTTTGTCCGTTTGCACTCATGTCTTTTTAAAACGCATTAGCAGTGAATATGAGTAGAAACACAAATTCCCTATTGATTTCGAATGAAATTCTTCTTAGTTTGCTAATTCCTATCGCGCTTCATTTATACTTATGTTGATACAGGTGCTTGAATTAACGAGCCCGTGTGCACTGCCCTCATAACATGACGATATATTTTATGCCTCGCATCATCTACATATTATACCTATCCCAAGGAGTTTGATTTGGTAACATAATAACTTAGCCCTTCCAGTTAGTATTAGAAATTTGGCTTTCGCATTCCTTCACCGCACCAAGCGCTTTCAATCTCATGACTAGCTTCTCATCATTCTATCTCTCACTCGCCTGATTTTTATACTTCCTCGCGCCGGCCGTTCTCTCCCCGGTTGTACATTTCTCTCTTCCTCTTCTTCTCTGATTGTCTTATCGTAGCATGTCGTCACCGGCGCGAGCCCGTGTCGTGGTGTCGCCTTTTAGTGCTGACTATAACTTTTCGATCAATGAGTGCGATACTTAGCGTGCGCCCACGCTTTGTGAGCCCGTCCTACATTCTCACATCTGCACGTCTTTAGTCGTGTCATCATCACATCAACACATCGTTTGCGTCACTTCCATCTTGTAATCTTGAGGATGTTGGTGGATCTATTATTCAGGTAATTTCCTCTTGGTACGTTTTTGCTACACGGTGCCGTTTGATAGTTTAAGTAGCTGAGTGTGGAGATTGCAGTTCGAACTAGTGGCGCCGCGCCATACAATTAGCATCTCATATCGCTACCGCCGCCAAGTGCAAGAGACTTTTTTGGGGTTTATGCCTGGTAAACAGTACACTATGAAAGCTAAAAAATAAAATAAAATGAAATTTACTTTTAAAACTATTGTAGTATATTAGTTTTAGTTCTTTATTCTTAGTGAGTGTCCCTGTGACTCCGAAGCCCAGAGACCCCCCAATATTTACCTGCCGCCACGCGGGCCATACCTAATACAGAGTGCGCAGTATATCTCATTTGTGATTTTTTAGCAAGACTATATATCCCTACGATATTGAAACCAAAGGGTGATAGCAAAGCGTGATAGATTCTCTTCGAGACCATCTTTTGGTCCTGCTGTCTATCATGCGACTATCAGTCCGTATCACCCTCGTCTTCGCCTTTGCCCAAAAATACTGTAAGATGTGGGTAAAATTCGCAATAAAATTTATCTTTATAATTAAGGAACTCACATTATCCTGCCTCATTAATTTGCCTAATATCATTGCTCAGAGTAGCAACCTAATATGAAGTAATAGCCTTATCTATGAGAACAGTTTGATCGGGCCGCTTATTTGCTCAAAATTTTCGATATAAATGACCAAAAATATCGGTGTACACCTCTTAGTTGATCAAGAACTGGACTATAGACATCGCTTTGACTTCAAAATCACATTGCACGTTTTCTGTCAATAATTCACAAGCTGAAAACGCCCAGCACAAGTAACATATTACCCGGCCATCAAAAAACTTCACAAGGACCATTCTATGCCATATGCGGAAAATTATTCTCATTACTGTTCGTAATATCTGCGCGTGGTTGTTTGGTGGCACATATCTTCGGGCAAAGTTTCAACCATACCCCCTAATTTGATAGTTTCGGGAACACAAACTTCAGCATGGTGTGTGTCAACATTCTTCGTAGCGCCCGATTTTTACAGCCTTTCATTTACGGGTTACTTACGCGATCGCGGCGTTGACTGCTATTCCCCATGCCTAGGTATGTAACATCAGCGTTACATGTTATCATTTCACCCAATACACAGTGGTCAAACAATTGCTCCACACTACCGGCTTTCATGCATCAATTAGTCCTATGCCTTCTTATCATTAACAACTGATTCCGTCCATCCGATTAATACTAGTAAGCCTCTGTTCTTTAAGTATATCTCGCACATGCTGTTATACCCCAGTCAATTTTTAACAAGTGCCCTGCCTTCTGCTAACCATATATTCTACATTTAGTTTGACTTTATATACACCCAGTTAATTTGCGGTTTAACACAATTTGACACAGGAATTACAGGCCACTTGAATTAAACACAGGACTAAGATCTACCTTATCGGTCTGCGTAAAAACATCCCGGCAACACGTGGTTCCTTTTAGCGATGCCGCAGGCATATTTTTGCCTCAGATTCCGTATTCTTGCCTCCTCGCTCACCTATGAATCATCTTCGTCGCAGACTGTTCAGTTGTCTGACCCGTCAGACAATGGCTGATTGTCGCCGAGACAGCAAGCCGCGAAGTTTACACATGCCTGTAACATTCAGTCCACTGGCAATGTACGCACACAATTTGGTAGCTTGCAAGCCTCCTGGAACAATTACAGGCGCCACATCAAATCCAGAGAGCCTGCACGGATGCTAGGCTGTCCACTCATCCAGTCCACAAGCCAGTAGTCTGTTTCATCCTGATCATCCCAGTTTCCATCCCTTTCCAAGCTGGGCTGGGCGTCATTGGTGTGCCTCTGAAGCGCTTCGTTTCCAAATTAGCTGTCTGGTAATGGCTCGCCTGTACGTGTTTTCGGAAGAGTCATTGCCATGGAGCAATTGGTGGCCTCTCAATCTCCCCCGTGTGCTTCGGCACAGAATAAGATCCGTCCTATCGAGCGCGCCTAGTGTCTCTTTGTACCAGACGTGGATGCATTATACGGCATGGCACTGTGATATTCTCCAGCTTATCCATAAGCCTCATCAGGCCACATTCCAATTCTTGCCCCAACGCGCGCACGCGAACGTTTCTTGCAGACCTCTTTGCTAGACCTTAGAGCATTTTAAGCGCCGTGCCCCCTAGCTTATGCCTTTGCCTGCAAATGCTGCGCTAATCAGTGCTTGCCCAACCCCTTGCTAGTAGAAGGCATGCAGTTCGCGCTATAACGTCCATAACACAACATGCTGCCGCCCACTGAAGGCTGCGCGATATTTTGCGTCTAATGGTTCAATGATTGCGTCTCCGATCATCTGATAGCCCACAGCAAAACAATCGACGTGACTTGGCATGTTTCTGCAGTATGGGCAAAAACCGTGCAAGGACACCCATGATGGACTTACCGTCGACAGTAGACGCCCCGAGGCCGACGCAGGATGCAGACTCGCCGACGCCGGTGGTCACTGCGAAGCCTAGCAGTTACACGAGACCTGCCCTGGATACTCCAGTCTGCTGCCCGCAGCATGCCAGCAGCAGTGAAGGTAAGCCAGTCGACCATCTGCTTCCTCGTGGTGTTACTTATGAAGCCTCTGAAGCAACCTCCTGGTTTCCTTTCCGTGGCCGATTTTGTAACACTTGTTTTCAGTTGTTACAAATAGCTAAGACCTTTCCATTAGATTGCTTGGTGTAACTCTGGTTTACTCATTCGCTCACCAGCAAATGGAAAAATGGAGGATAGACTTATTCCCACGATGGCTGCAAGAAGCTTCTTCATTGCCTTACATTTGCGATGCTGTGATGTTTTTAAAGCTTCAGGCCCAACGTTGCCTCTCCTCTAGGCCGCGAGCCGTTTCACACGGGTGTCTACACTGTGATTGGAAGTGCTAAGTTTCTTGCTGTAGGGCCCCCGGACTGTCTACCTTACCACTAGTGCCTGCGCTCATCATTCAGGGCCAGGGGACAAAACAAACTGCGCAATTTACCTCCAAAACGCTTGACTTGATCCCCTTCACGCCTTCTGGATTATGCTCATTCCATCTATTAGGTTGCTCCTCAGAATGCCACTGCAGCGCAGCAGTCTGTCGACGCCTGCGGGCATTCTTTTGTCCTGACGCACAGCTAGCAAAGCAGCCCTGTCAGTTGCTTTTACAGGTGCAAGGACCTTCTAGGTGTGCCAGTGCCCCATGGTAATAGACCATAGAGGCAATGGATAGTACATTCAGCCATTTTGCAGATTTATCGGTACCTGTAGCCATCACAATGAGCCGACCAACAACAATTGCTCTGTCATCTTGAAAGCAATCACGGCCCACTCTGCCACTCATCTGACTTTTTTTGCTTCTTGCATCAAATTGCCTGATGGTCTCAGTTTGTTCAGATTCTGTCATTGGGAATCATGAAAGGCGTGTCCCTTGCCTTGGCGTGTGGGTCTTCTCCGCTCAGCGAGTTCTCTCAGCTTTGAAGTCGACGGGCACCGGCCGGTTGTCTCTGAGAAAGAGCATTGAACTCCAATGTCTCTGGCATTCTTCAAACATCCGTAGCAAGTGATCATGGGGGCTTTTTGCCTGTCGGAGATACTGATAATGTCTCGTGGCGCCTCTTCAAATGGATTACCTAGCTTTCACCGATGTACGAATGTAGATAACATCTGCCTAAATTCCTTCGCTCGACACGCGTCTGCATGCAGGTCACGCATGTGGAACATCTGTTTGTTCGTAGATGGAACCTTGATCCATCTCATGTACCACTTTCCCTTCATCTTGACCAAGAAAGCGGCTTCCTCCTCCTGCGCTGTTCCAAGTAATGTAATAGCACTATGAGAGCGGACTTCTGTCTCCCTGATTTCAGACTAACCCTTAGATATGGCGTCGCCTTCCCCTTTGGCAAGGGTCACCTGTCTTGGTTGTGAGTCGCGTGTAAGGTTCCACCTAGTCGGTATACTGCCGTAATCCTTACTATTCGCTGCTTTGTGTTTTTGAGACCGGTGCGAATGATGCCCGTTCAAAGTGTACTTGCTGCCATCAGAGATAGTTGCAACAGAGAAGACAACACCTCAAAGAAACGCCCTGCGTAACACAGCCTGGATGATTTGGGCTGCCAGACTTCTTGCGTCATCTCAGCCCATACATACGGCTGGTAGGTATCGCTTGCCATAGTTAAAATCGATCGTATTGCCAAAACACCCGGGGATCAATGTTACCGTGGCGATAAGCAACAGAGATTGCAATACGCCAATTCCTTCTTGCGCAGCTACGCAGCAGGGCAAGCAAGACCGTTTTCAACGTATTCGTCCTCACATAGATCATCCAACAGAGCGCGAGAGTTCTCCGTTTTCATGCGAAGCATCAGTCTGAGACATCTCGTTTCCAGTGGCTGACTAACTCCGGATGTATTTGGAGGTTGCCAGAAGACTGTCAAATTTCTGTTGTCACAAATGTTCGACCAAATCAGCTTACTTCTTCTGACACAACGACGTTATGTCTGCTTTTTACTTCTGCGTTGTTTTTTCTCAACCCTTGGATATGAATGCCTTCCATGCTAGTTCTCCATGAATGCTCATACACAAACTTGTGCACAATACCACTGCTCGCGTTGCTACATCTTCCCAGAATAACACCCTGCGCAAGTGAGCCATTCGGGTGCTGAAATGATTGACAGAAACGTGCAATGTTGGAATATTTTGCAAGCTCAAAGCGATTTCGGCCACTTTTTCAACTAAATTTATACTATTTTTAGTCATTATACTCACAAAACCTAGTGTGGAGCAATTTTTGCATGGTATTGGAAAATACATTAACTGTATCAATATTACATACTTACCATTGGATACATAGCTAATACCGCAAAAAACCTTAAACCAAAAACCTAAAATCGTTCAAAATCTATGCTTTTGTCCCAAATATTGAGCAATTAGGAGGCATAGGTTGCAATTTTGCCGAAGATATGTGCCGCAAACAACCACCATATTACAACAGTAATAATATATATCTCCAATGCGACGCTGGGTCTTATGTCTAAGATTTTTCGAATGCACCGAGCTAATATGTTACTCGCGGCGAGTTTTCATTGTCGTGGCAATTATTGCACAGAAACCGTGCAATGCCTGTATATTTTGAACTCAAAGCCATTTCGGCCTACTTTCATTCACACCCCTAAATTTTAACATATTCTTTAGATCATTATATCAAAACTTTGCAAATAACCCCCAAACCAAATGCTTCTATCATTTATCTATTACTATATTAGTGCATCCAGGTGCAACATGATTGGCCACCTGGGTCCTTAAAAAAAATAACCTTTATTCACCAATTTTACCAAACTAACACTATTTTGGCCGAAGCCAAAGAGAGCGGGTACTATATCACTATTTTCGCGGTGAGTGCCGTAAACACAAGACAAAATGGTCGAGAGCTTCCCCCTACACTGCTATCCACATTCTTTTTCATATCTCATGCGGACAGTGACCTTATCCTCGCACCCCTAAAAATAAAATAAAAATAAAATTTACTTAAACTATTGTGGTCTTTGTTTTAGTTCTTTAATTTCTTTATTTAGAAAACATTGAGTATATGCACTTTACAAAGTATTTTCCACTAGTATGAAGCGAATTGAATGTAGAAATGTGTCGCGGCTTAGTTGGACGTTTATAAAGAAAAAAAATGCATTAAATAAATAGGCGTATACACTTTATAATATATGCGAAGCCAAGTAAAAACTGTCACCGTAACACTGTGTCATGTGTCAATCTTCTGGAACTAGTATTTCTACAGTACTGAAAACTACGTTGGAAAGTGATTAGAATTAAAAGTATTCGAGAAATCAAATAACATCAAAGGGCATATAATTTACTTTAGCAGTTACTGCATCCTCGTACTGCCCAATGAAATTTGAATCTGTACACTGCACTCTCGCATAACTTGTAGAACTCGCGTCCTTATATAGTAGCCAGACTAGATCACACTTAATCACCGTTGGTCATTACAGTTAGAGATGAATCAAAGAAGTTGACATCTATTTCTTGTCCGATTGAAACACTACCAAAAGGAAATGATGTTATCTGAATAATTGCGCGTTTAAGATTGACTGAGACGTTCACTGACTGCCGCATGCACCCAGAGTGCATGAATTCTGTATATAATGACGTTAATCGGCCAGTTGGGTGCAGTCAAAGCTGCATCGAATCGACGGCATACATCTTGTCTGGGCAAAGCGACCATGATTTATGTTCTGTCGGAGCAGAAATAGGCGTCAAGTGTAACACAAATGTCACTCCTCGTATTTTCGGGAATTCGTCTCACGCCCCCGTGAGTCACACGTTTCAGCACTGCGATTTCACTCAGACTATAGTAACCACGTCGTTTGAGACGTGCGCTGTACTCAGCCTAAGTAAACTATAAATAAAGCCTAAGTAAACCTAAGTAAAGCCTAAGTAAAGTAAAAGTATCGAAACTGTACTACTGGCATGCTGCATGCTAGTAGTGAGAATCGCCAACGAAACTAAATTAATGATTACTATCTGCTGGTGCACAGGTCACGCATTATGCATTTCTAGTTTCGGCAAACGTTTCATGCATGTTTATCGATAATGCATACATTTTAATTAGGAGATCGAGCATGTTAAAAATTCCGTTTTATTCACTTTATATTAATTATTTTCGATAAAAATGTCTGGCCATAGCTAACAAATACTTGCAGTGGATTATCCACAAGTTCACAATGATGACGATAGATAACTATATAGCATTGCAGGGGCGTAGCCAGGATTTTCAAAGTTGTAGGCACGACTATCTGAGCGGAGCGCGCAGCCAGGGTTGCGCGGAGCGTAGCAATAAAATTTTTGGTTTTTACAAACCCCCAGATGGCAGGAAACGGCCTTGCACCCGAGTGTTCATTCTGGTTCCTGGCCTCTTGCTAACGCTTTGAAGATCAGCCTTCATTCAATATAAGTTAAACAGCAAAAAACAAACAACTTAAAATAGGGTTTATGCGAAGTCGGAGTTTAAAATGTTAAAAAACTGACAAGATCGATCTATAGTCCTTTTCGAGCGCGGTAGAGAGTGTTGAATGACAACGGCGTCAATACGCGACTAGAAATGACGAGCCTAGATGACAGAAGAATAGGTCACACTAATTTAGCCATATTCTGCTACGCTTCAGTTTTCAATAAGTTTTTCGCTGTCAGACTCATTAAAACTGTCCAGCAAGCTTCGTGGGATATGGAATTATGTTTTTAAAAAAAAGAAGATACTTGCAAAAAAGGTGTTAGGCCTGACAGTCTACATACTGGGTACGCCCTGGCATTGGCTTTATCTTATAATAAAAATGTGTGCAAAGGGTAATGAAATAGAAATATGTACACCCAAACGTATAATTTGCGGGACTCTCTTACAATCTACAGAATATGTTTGCTTCTCCCTAAAAGGTGGCGCTGCAATCGCGTTGGTAAGAGGAAAGCTAACAAGTGCAGTCATTCGACGTTCCAAAGCACAACATTACTTGTGTTTGTCACGTTTTTCTAATAACATGTGATTTGAGTCTTATTTCGAAATACCCAGGTCAGCATGGTGTTGGTGTTTACACCATATGCTGGTGTCGGCATATCTGTACTTTCGGATCGAGCAAGGTTTTTATCTGTGAAGACGGTGCGACTGACAGAAATCTGAATAATAAGGACAAGGACACGGATGCAAAAAACGATCAGAGAATGACTCTTCTGGTAGTACTAGCCGTTCTTCGGCCACCACGACCAGCATCGGACTGCAGTATCCCGAGTATGGTGTGACGGTATTGCGACAAGGAAAAATCAGCAATGGACATGTAGACCCTGTTCGACAGCAGAGGAATTCCCGCACTAGTATAGCCTTGGTAAGGTTATTATCGCGGCGTCACATACCCCTTAGATAGACGGCTGAGGAGTTACTATGTTCAAGC